TGTAACATAAATTTTACTTTCTTTCACATCCACAAACACAACTTGCACCATCTTTATGCAGTTGATATTCAAGATAGGGATGGGTGTGACAGCCTCACTCAGCTATCACATAACTCCAGAGGCATCAACCACAGTCTGTGATACATCACCTAAAGGAGATGCCAATGCTTGCTTTGAAGTATACTCTATTACTACTGGAAGGATCTATCTTAAAGCATTTTGGCAAAAAAGAAAAACAAAGTGTTACTGGAAATGGGGGCCACGATGCAAGGTATAAAAATATAATCACTGTAATTAAAAACATTATTTATTTTTGTTTCATGATATAGATTTATTGGTCTGGTCGGAAGACATTTCGTCCATTATCAAAAACATGGAACCTATTCAGCAGGAAGAAGAAGTTATTTGGTGTCTGTAGAGTGTGTGAATGCTATGGGAATCACTTCCTTAATGTGATATGTCATGGTAACAAGTCTGGATCATCAACTTGTGCCTGCAGGACGCAGATCAGTCGGGGATAGTGCCATGGTTGATTGGATTTGGACATGGATTTCAAAACTGTCCTATTGTAGTGTAGTTTGTAGTTAGAATTTAGTTAGAATTTCAACAAAAGTTTTGTAGTGATTTGATTTTAGTGATTGATTTGTCGTATATTATTATTAAATGCATGTTGTCTCATGCCCTGCCATGCCAAAAAGAGCAGCAACTTTTTCTAAGCAACGAGATCACTCATGATGGCATTGGGTTTCCACGTGGTTTTGCGCATGCGTACTTTGCCCCTCCTCGTGTTCAGTGTTCACTGAGCTTACAACTCCATTTCTCCTCGCATTTTCTCCCTCGATTTCTCCACACTATGGGTTCAGATAAGAAGAGCAAGAAAGTAATGTAGCCTTTATTGATGTGTAGGATATTCTCTGTATCTTTCCTTTGCTATCAACAGGCAGTCAAGGGAGAAACGGAAGTGAAAAAGTCGAAGAAATCCAAGAAGACCAAGGATAGTGATGAAGTAGCGGTGCCAGTTGTACCAGAGGTAGTCGAAACAGATAAAAAGAAAAAGAAGAAGGCTAGCAAGGTAATAGTGAGTCTTGGCTATGGCCTTTAAGAAGTAGCCGCCATAACACGTGAGTGACAATGGTAGCCACGTGTTTTAAATCTCTTGTGTAGCCTGTAGAGGTAGCTTGTAAAAGAATTAGCAAATTATGAAAGTTAAGAAGAAAATGATTTTTACCTTTTTGAGGTTATGGTACATTTGTGAGCAGCTTATGTGACTCAGAAATTGCAGTGATAATACTGTTATCAATACAGTTAAAAGCCATTATACATGTAAATGTACTTGTCCGTATACAGTGACATTTAATTGTTGCTTTATTTTCCAAGCCTTTAATAATTGTAGTATGTTATAATCCTTTATAATAATTATACAGGCTATAGTATTTTGCTGACATATAAAATGAATTTATCTTTTGCTTCATTCTGAACATGCTCAATGACATTATGGTCGTAACGTAAAGAGTATCGATTTGATTTTTTCATTTAATATTTCCTGTTGTACGGTCATCTTATTTATAAATTCTCTTTATCATTAGAAGGTAGAAAAGCCTGCTCCTCCTCCCAAGAAGGCAGCTAAAGTAGAGGAAGACAGTTCCAGCAGCAGTTCTGATGAAGAAATGGAAACAGAAAAGAATGCAAAGGCAGCTAAGCCTAAGGTATTGTATTATTAATTATTTCAGTGCATAGTCTTGTGTGAAGTAACTCACTCAATAATGTGTTAAACCTCATGTTTATTTTAGATGTTACTTCAAAAGCCATGTACTATTATTGTAGCTCATAAAGTACCGTATAGTGGGAAATTTGGAGGGAATCAAATATGGCGAATTTAGTGTTTTGATTATATGCATGCTCAACTGCACATGGCTACTAATTTTCAAAATTAAGATTCGCCAATCACCAAATTTTAGCAATTCGCCAAATTTAACTTTCTCCAAAATTTCCTGCTATTATGGTACATGCTGTTTAGTTCACTTGGCAATTGGCATCCGGGTTCCCCACAAAGCATGCTAAGTGAGCTAAACAGCATGAGCTTCATGAGCCGACAAGGACCACAATACACTAAAAGCCTTTTTAACAACTTGAAAAATTCATAAAAATTCAATTTTGATCGGAATTAGCTCAAACTTTCTACACAACACAAGAACATGTATACGTATTAGGAAAAAATATAAAAATGGAACATTCTCTCCTAGTCATTTTTGGCGAAATTTAGCCAAAACCCCTGTACTATAGTACAGGGTCTTTGGCCCGATTTTTAAGCAACTTTAAAAATTTATAAAAAAATCCAATTTTGATCGGAATGAACTCAAACTTTCTACACAACACAAGAACATGTATACGTATTAGAAAAATTATAAAAATGAAGAATTTTCTCCTAGCATTTTTGGCGAAATTTGGCCATGACCATCCATGTACTTTAGTACAAGGTCTTATAGCACTATACCAAAATCCTGTGGCAAACTCTTTGTGTAAAATTTTAAGTGATACCGTATATTGGGAAATTATGGAGGGAATTAAATTTAGTGAATTAGTATTTTCATAGCCATTCGCCAAAATAAAAAATCTCCATTTTGAGCGATTATACGCATGCTCAATGGCACATGGCCACAAATTTGCCAAATTGGAACTCACCAATCTCAAAATTTTGCAATTTGCCAATTTCTCTCTTCAAAACTTCCCACTATACAGTATAATGTTGTATTTATGTAGAAGGTAGAGAAGGCAGCACCTCCACCGGCCAAGAGCAGTAAGAAGGCTGTCACCAAACCGAAAGAGGAAAGCTCTAGCAGCAGCTCTGACGAAGAAGAAGAAATGGAGACATCAAAGACAGTAGCTCCTCCCACTAAAGCTCCTCCCACTAAGGTAATGTAGTGTGTACCAGGTTGCTACACCAAGCATGCTTGATAACCACATAAAATTTACCACACTACGTATAGCTCCAAATTTTTCTCAATCATAAATTTGTCAAACTTTTTGTGTGACAAAAATTTTTAATTGACGAAATTTTTGCTCCATGTGGTTAGTATGCAGATTTATAATTAATATATCAAAAGTTTTATTGACGAAAAATTAAAAGTTATGTTTTTGATAAAAAATTTTGACTGACGAAAATTTGGAGGTATTTGGTAAAAATTAAATAGAAAAAAATAACAAATATATTTTTATGTCTTTATTTCTTTTTTCAAACAGAAGAAGGATGACAGCAGTAGTAGCAGTGATGAGGATTCTGATAGCGAAACTGCAGCTCCTCCTAAACCAGTTGCTAAACCTACTACTGCTACTAAAGACAGTGATTCATCTGATGACTCATCTTCTGATGATGAAAGTGTAAGTGTTTCATTGTATAATAAAGTTGAATTAGGACCCCGGGGTTTGTAGTTGGGCTAGAAAAAGCAATGTTCACTTGATTATTTGTGTTACTAATTTTAGTAGCATGCCCACAAAATTATGTAATCTGGCTGGGTATTTTTGTATTAAGTGATTATTGTGTCAGCTTTGAATTGGTCCATGAGGGGCAAACCACAGAAACATCAGGGTCACAAATGCCCATTAAATTAATGATTTTAAAAATTAAAAAAATTTTCGTTAAAATTTTTTGATTTTAGCACGGCGTTTTCTTTTGGGTATATAAGTTCTTAATTTTGTGGTTTTAGGCTGCGAAAGAGCAAACAGCTAAAGGTAAGAAGGCAAAGAAACCGGCAAAGAAAGATGATACTCCATCAGCTAAAGAAACAGCAAAAGTACGTGTACTGGATAAGAGGAAGTGTATTCCATTGTTCTACTATTTCTACATGTACGTCTGTAAATTTTGTGAATTTGCCCAAAAATCTATTTTGCAGATTCAATTTTTGTGAATTTATGTCGCCTGCCATCTTGTACTGTAATAATTTGACATGAATTTTCTTTGCAAATCTCCAAAAATTGTGAAATTCGTAAAATTTACAGCCATTGAAAATTTGGTGCTTTACGGTATATATCTAAACATTAGAGCTATTTATGCATTTTTATTATCATTATGTAGAAGAAAAAGTCAGAGAAGGCAGCTCAGCCTCCCCCTCCATCAAAGAAGGCTACTGGCAAGAGACCAGCAGCTGAAGATGATGATAGCTCAAGCAATAGTTCTGATGAAGACATGGAAGTGGCTAAGATTGGAAAGAAAGCACCCCCAGCCAAGGTAGAGTTTATTAACATGCAAATGTAGAGACTACTTTTGATTATTTATTGTGCTGTTGTGGTTTTATCTAATCTTGATATTGTCTCATTTTATTGTGATGTACAGCTGTGAAATTTTTAACTTTTATAACCACTTTTTGAAACGTTTTTCCATGTCTCTAACAGAAGAAGGATGACAGTAGTAGTAGTGATGAAGAATCTGATAGTGAAGATACTACTCCTCCTAAACCGGTTGCTAAACCTACTCCTGCTAAAGACAGTGATTCATCTGATGACTCTTCTTCTGATGATGAAAGTGTAAGCGTTTGAATGATATTTCTTTTGTCCTGTTCTTGAAAGAATTCACAAAGTCATGTCAAGCAAATAAAAGAGCGTAAAGAGCGTCTTTTCAACTAATGCATAAATTACAGTTATAAACTAAGATGTCATTTGCATGTATACTAAAGCTTCTCTGAACTACATGTATAGATATAGTCCTTTGTCTTGGGCATTGTTTGGAGACTTAATTTTCATCTTTTTTAATAAAAATAACAGATTTTATTTTGACAATTTTTAACCCCCTGGCAGCCATTTTATTAAGCATTGTGTAGCTCCAAAATTTTCACCAGTCAAAAATGTTTGATTACTTAAATGTATTAATATGTGGATTTGTAATAAATTATGGCGAAAATTCAGTTTTATTGATAAAAATTAATTTTACAAATATGATCGAAATTATGACTGACAAAAATCTAGAGCTATACAGTAACCACAATGTTGAATTAACGATTGATGGTGGGTTCTATTAGTATTATGTGTATCTGTAGGAAGAGGCAAAGGAACCAGCTAAAGCCGCTGGTACTAAAAGAAAGCAGGAGGAATCAGAGAGCGAGAGTGATGATGATAGCAGTGAGGAGAGTGAAGCTGATAAAGCTCCACAGGCCAAGAAAACGAAAAAAGGTATTGAGTTGAAAAATATTTATGATACAACTTTGTTTAGGGACAATAATTGCTATGCTTGCTTATGTACACAATAAGTTTCCCCATTTTTCTTGTGTGAAAGGAAATACTTCTTTATTTAGTTTTTTGTGATTTTCATGTTTTTCTTTTTAAAAAATTGCTAGTTAAGTCTTAAAGAAATGTTCTAAATCAGCTTAAGCTTGCATAAAAATGCAATCATGATTTTGAACCCATTTTAAAAATGTGACATTATTTATTTATTTATTATTATCACAGCTGCAGAGTCTTCAAGTGATGACAGTGATGAGGACAGTGATGATGAAGAAGAAGACAAACCAGCTACCACTACTCCATCAAAACCAATCACCAATGGAAAGGCTGATAATGAAGGTCCGCTAAACATAATATATTTATTTAAGATACATCGTGTACTTCATGCATGTTTTGAATCAATTATGTTTAATTTTAATTCTGCTAGCTTCTTCAAATTTATTTGAAGATTTATTTCCTTTTTTATAGAGTGTTCGATATTTTGTGGTAATCTTTCGTTTGACTGTGATGAGGACTCACTGTATGCATTCTTTGATGATTCAGGATTCAAGCCTAGCTCTGTTAGGATCATAATGCGTGATGGCCGACCCAAAGGGTACGCTGTAGTTAAGAGTATAATCTCATCATGTCCTTGTACTATTTGCTAGTGTGTCTGTGAAAAGAGCTTGTACCGTTCTTGTATTTTTTTATATACCGTAATTCTATAAATACCGTACAAGATGATTTATTCGCGGTAAATTAATATTGGCAATTGGCGGTTCTATGAAGAAATCGCCAATATAAAATCCGCCATTTTGTTTCAATCTAAGCATGCTCAATGGCACATGGCACAAAATCGCCAATATAAAATTTGTCAATTTCTTTCCACTGGTAAATTTGCCCTGCCAATAAATTATCTTGTACGGTATTTGCATGTATGTTCAAAGCTTTTTGCATGAACTTATTATTTATATTGTGTATACACGCGAGTACTACTTGAATTCAAGCTTTATCTAATTGATTCAAGCTGTATCTAATTGTATTGCCATAAGTAGGATTTAAATGTCTAGTATTAGCAATAGCTTTATGTCTGCCACATATGCCGTATAGCGCTTTATTTTGGCGATTTTGTTGTAAAATTGTAATTGGCGGTTTTTAATTTGGCGATTTTTTGTGTACATTACTGAGCATGCGCATTAATGATTGGCGGTTTTAATATTGGCGATTCTGCTTGCCAATCGCCAAAATAAAACTCCGCCAAAATAAAACTCCGCCAAATTAAAGCGCTATATTAGCAACAATACATTGTTTATAGATATACTGTATAGCAGGAAATTTTGGAGGGGGTTTAATTTGGCAAATTTGGCGTTTTGATAGCCATTTGCCAAAATTAAAATCCGCCATTTTGAGCCATTATATGCATGCTCAATGGCACGTGGCCACAAATTTGCCAAATTAAAATCTGCCAATCACCAAAATTTAGCAATTTGCAAAATTTTAGCCCCTCCAGAATTTCCCGCTATACTGTACAGTGTGGGCATTTTTATTAGTATTATTGCACCACAATAGGTTTGGGTATGCTGACTTCTCAAGCAAGTCAGTGGCTCAAAATGCCATCAAGACCCTGTCAGAGACTGATCTATTAGGAAGGAATGTGAGACTGGATCTGGCCAACAGTCGCAGTAACAGCAGTACTACACCAAGAGGTATACCCTCAGTAATTATAACCATTAAACATTAGTTAATTGTTATATTATAACCGTCTTTACTATTAAAGTCCCTTTGTGTTCAACTGAGTCCTCATTTTCTTGCTATAACTTTATACTTACTAGTTCTATTGTAAAGATACACATATCAATGCATTCCTCTCCTTTTCCCCATATATTGTGGTACTTTAAAGCTTTTCAGCTTTAAATTTGTTGTCCAGTACAACTCATGCAGAAAGTACAGCCATTCTTTTAAGCACAGTACTTTTGTATTGTATAATTTTGTCACCACTAAATGGCTTTTATAATGGTCATACATGTGTATGTGTGCCTAAACAACTCCCTCAAGTTTTTAAACCCTTTTATAATGTTGCTATTATGTATTTATTATTAGGTGGATTTGGTGGTAGAGGGGGGCGTGGCACTCCAAGAGGGCGTGGTGGTACACCAGGAGGTGGTAACAGAGATCGTCCTCCTAACAGTACCCTAATGGTCTTTGGTTTAAACAAGGACACTGAACCGTTTGAACTCCAGAATGTCTTTACTGACAGCAATGATGTGTATTTACCTAAAGACAGGGAGACAGGAGAGAAAAGAGGGTGAGTTAAATAACTTAAACTTTATTATGTTCAGCTTTTTGGTAGTCTAAGTCATGTGTTACACTTATTTACTTGTACATGTATGAAAGAACTACAATTGTAATTAATAAGGAAGCATTGTCACCAAATGTACATGAACTATATTTTCCTATAACATTATGTATGTAGATGTTTGTGCAACTTTTACAATTTATAACAAGTAGTGGAGCACTATGCCAAAATCCTGTGTAAAAATTCTGATTTCACTATTACTGTACAAGATGATTTATTGGCAAGAGTAAAATTTGGCGAAATTGCCTTTAGAAAGTTAATTGGTAAATTTTATATTGGCGATTTTGTGACACATGCCATTCAGCATGCTCAGATTGAAACAAAATGGCGGATTTTTTTATTGGCGATTTTTTCATAGAACCGCCAATTGCCAATATTATTTCCTCGCCAATAAATCATCTTGTACGGTATATGTTGGAGGTAGCATATGATATGACATCATTAGCATGTAATTTTTCATTCTGTATTTTTTATGATAGCTCATGTACAATTTCCATTCCACTCCTCATTAGGTTTGGATTCATTCGTTTTGATGACATTGATACTGCTACTAAAGCCCTCAAGCAGCACAATGGGATTACAATTGATGGTCAGACCATAGAGCTACGTTATGCTGAGGACAGGGGGCCCCCCAGTGGGGGGAGAGGACCACCCAGTGGGGGGAGAGGAGGAGGAAGAGGTCGTGGAGGAAGAGGAGGTCAGACATAAAACTAATTCACTTTACCATACATCATTTACTATACACCATACAACTTGTTTCATGAAACGTCTTTTCTACAGGAGTCAATGGAGCCTATAAAGTTGAAATAAAACAAAGTTTCATGTTGTGTAGTGGCCTTTAGCTTATAATACATTATTGCTTATTGGTTAATATGCCATTATAATATAGCCCAAAAATTTTGCAATTTTGTCCAAAAACCTCAATACTTTTCAGCCGTGTTGAACAGATTTTATTTTTATGAATTTTAAGAGTCCAAAATTTGTAAAATTTTGTTTTGCAAAGATATGATCCTACGTACTTGTGTACATTATCATAGCATTTCTATTTGGTGTATTTCACTGTGTCTGTAATTGGATTGTTCTTATGTCATGTTGTATTTGTTCCTTTAGGTAGAGGAGGAGGAGGTCCATCAGCCTTCAGAAAAGGCTCAATACAAGAGTTCAAGGGATCAAAAATATCTTTTGATTGATAATAATTATAATAATAATAAACTTTAATTTCTTAATCATTCTTATCGAGTGTATTATTATGTAAATAAAAGTTTTTTCTATTGTAACAAAAATAACAATAATATAGCGTAATAGATAGTTATGGCTAATAAGGTTATTCGTTCTGTGTTACAGCAGAGACTACGCATAATAGTCTTGCTGCACTCTCTAAACAGAATGATTGAGCCACGTGGTTTTGCGCATGCGTATAATACTTTACAACGGATCCTTGTCGCATGAGTCGTCGTGTTCACAAAGTAAATTAAAAGGGCAATAATTCTCCTCGCTCAGTGTGGATTCAGATAACAATAGCAAGAAAGTAATGTAGCCTTTATTGATATCTACTATACTGTCTATAGGAACAAATGGAAATGAAAAAGTCAAAGAAATCCAAGAAGACCAAGGATAGTGATGAAGTAGCGGCACCAGTTGTACCAGAGATAGTCGAAACAGATAAAAAGAAAAAGGCTATTAAGGTAATAATGCCATACTTTTGATTTGTTATGTGGGGTTCGCTGTTAACATGTGTCGTAGAATGGCGAGGGGTCCATGGGCGGTTGCAGAAATTTGGTTTGACCTGGGCATCAATAATTAGTGGGTGTGGTTTCATAAAATTTTGCAAGGAAAAATGGAAAATACTGATCTATAACTTCATTGAGATGGTTTCTTAGCATAAAACAACAAAGAAGCCTGTTGAACTACCACAGTTTACACTGGATGTCCACACCAGAATCATGAATATAATTATTGGTCAGTGGCGGATCTATTGGGGGGCAATGCCCCCCCCCCAAAAAATATTCTGGAGTAAGGCAGTTCCAATAAAATTACTTGGTTTACGGATCCGACCGACTCCAATTTTTGGAAAATGCCCCCCCCCAAAAAATATTCTGGAGTAAGGCAGTTCCAATAAAATTACTTGGTTTACGGATCCGACCGACTCCAATTTTTGGAAAATCAAAATAAATTTAAATTTTCTAATGCGCATGCGCAGTACCACGTGGTGGGTGTGGCTAGATTCAAAATGGCGCTAAATGTATTTGTTACTGTTAAAAGAGCAAGCTCCTCTATCTTACCTTCCACTGTATGTCAAACCTCTGTGGCATCTACTGTTTGGGACTTGTTAGAGCAGCCATTCATGTTAAATAAGCCTACACTCACAGAAGTTGCTAGAGTATTTTGATAGTTTGTTTTAAAAAGTTGTGGTTAACTAACAATTATTAAAGTTAATTAATAAGTAGTTAATTAATTTCATTGGTTATATTTTAATTTATTCCGACCGGCCTGCTCTATTTTAGAGAAAAAAAATCCGTAAAACAAGTAATTTAGTTTGAATTGCCTAATATAAACTTTGGTTTACCTATGTAAACTGTGAAGCAGCTGCAGTACTGGACTATGTAAACTATCTTTAAACCACAAAGTGGCTCATTTTAGCAGGCTTAGTCTTCATAATTTTTACTTCCCAAAAAGTTTTGCACAAGCCTAGTTGACCACACCCCCTAATTACCCCTCCCATCTCACAATTGCCCCCCCAAAAATTAAATCCTAGATCCGCCCCTGTTATTGGTCAAAAAAGTCAACCTGGGCATTACCCCTAATGCCCAGGCCTGCAACCGCCTATGGAGGGGTCCACAACTCCTATTTTAGGTGTACGAGATTAAGAGATTAACCAGATTTTTGAGATTATCAGAGATTATTTGAGATTATTTGGAAGATTACCAGAGATTTTTTTGAGATTTCCAATAATTTTTTGGGATTATCAGAGATTTTTTTGAGATTATTTATTAATTAACTACTTTATAACTTTTAATATTTATTAATTAAAGTTAGTTAACCATTATAACTATTAATAATTATTACTTAAGGTTAATTAATTATAATAAACTCCGGATACTAGCAGATATGGTGAGATTATTTTGAGATTTTTAAAGATTACTGGAGATTTTAAAGATTAACAGATTATTATAGATTATTTTCAAGGGTGTACAGAATTATTTGGAGTTGCAGACCCCCTCGTAGAATGGTGACCATGTGTTTTGTAACTTGTAGATATAGTTATTTAAGCAATTTTAAAAAATTCATAAAAACTCTAATTTTGGAATCAGCTCAAACTTCAAACACAACATAAAGACATGTATATGTATCAGAAAAAATTATAAAAATGAGAATTCCTTCCTTTCCAATTTTGACAAAATATTTGGCTAAAGATTGTGTAGTGTGTAACTATGGTCTTTGGTCCGATTTTGGAAAAACTTAAAAAATTTATAAAAGTTTAATTTGGATCAGAATTAACAAAGTTAAACTGTTGATGGTGGGTTCTATTGGTATTATGTGTATCTGTAGGAAGAGGCAAAGGAACCAGCTAAAGCTGCTGGTACTAAAAGGAAGCAGGAGGAATCAGAGAGTGAGAGTGATGATGACAGCAGTGAGGAGAGTGAAGCTGATAAAACTCCAAAGGCCGAGAAAATGAAAAAGGTGATTGGATATTATTATGATTATCATTATCATTATTCTCAAATA